ACAGAAAACAAGAAATGGACAGTTATTTGCTGACAATAACATGTTTGTTGATGTGATTTATTGAGACAATATACAGTGTACTCTGGATGGAAAATCTCATTTTGTATGCTGTAATGATGTACAGTGAATGAATGCAAATACATAAATTTAAATAAAAAAAAAGAAGTTATAATAGCATGGAGGTCCACTATAGATACTGGAGACGGTATAGGAGTAGGTGGGTATTAAAGGGTGGGTAATTGTGAGTGGAAAAAAGGAGATCATGGAAAAGAAAACACACAAAATATTTAATAGACACAAAAATGAAAGTTATCTGTTGATGGTAATGTATACGGTAATGTCTTTGACTTGACTAGTATGCACTGTATTCATGCCGGGAAAAACCATGTTGTATAGTCTAAAGATTTACAGTGATTATGTGTAAATAAAAATGGAATAAAAAGTCAAAAAAAAAAAAAAGAAACCTTTCATACCCGCACATGATTCTGGTTAATTTCTGCTATGTAAGTTGTGGTATAGTATGGGGGTGGGGAACAATGGCACACATCTCATGTGTTTGTGTGGGATGCTAAGAGCAAGGGACCTATGTCAGAGTCCCAGGAAAACATTAAAAACTAAGGGAGTTTGGGCAAATGGAGTACAGGAAGACAATGAAGAGAAATGGATTGTAAAGAAGGAAACAGGCAGGACCAGCAGTTAGCCTAATGGCTATGTCGCTGAACTCCCATGTAGCCAATCGCAGTTTGAGTCCTGGACCCGGTGGCTTAAACTCACACCGGGTGCATGTGTGTGCATGCCCAAGATCCTGAGAGGAGAAGGGAGGAGAAAGGACTGAGACGTGGCCACCACCACCACCCCCCGCGGAGGGGTTTCTCATTTTCTGTCTCACTGTCTCTCTCTGTCTTTCTGGTGAACGCACATACCCTATAGCAAAAACTTTTCTAAAAAAAAAAAAAAACAGAAGAAGAAGAAGAAGGAAACAGGCAGAACGAAGCATGTTGACCATGAGAAAAACATCAATCATGACGGTTAATGCTGCTGGGTCCCACATGGCCAAGTGTACTTCTAATCCAGGCTAGGTAGCTTGAGAAACTTGCTCAGCACATGGTATGCGTGCCCAAAATCCCAAAAGGAGAAGGAACTGTGACATGACCATAATTTCTCACTTTCCCTCTCTCATTCTATCTGCCTCTCTCTTGCAAGTATGTGCATTCTCTGACAAAAGTAAAAATTTTAAAATCATAGAATTAGAGTACATGCATTATGCAAAATCATATATATGTGTTTGTACATCTATATTTTTATATGTATGTGTATGTGTTAGTATGTATATAAATACACTTTCATATTTAGTAAGTAGATATTAAATATTAAATATAGTTATGTAGTTTATATATTTTATATGTAATTTTATGAAGTATATAATATGTTATATATTATACTATTAAATCTATATTTACATTAATACATAGTTATACTTACACTAATATAAATGTATATTTATATAGGGAAGGCAAGAAAGAAGGAAAGGTCTGCATTCACAGAGATGAAATTTGCAAATATTGGAATGGGAAAAATTTGAGTGGAGACCTTTGGTTGTTAAAATATGTAAGATAGATACATTTGCCAAATTGGATCCAAGAGCTACTCTCTCAGTCATGCTCAAAGTCCAAAGTTCTATATTCAGGGTCTAGATTCTCAGTTGAAGACATCACCATTTAGGCAATCCCACCCCATGTTTTCACATAGAGATCAAAAGGGAATACATTATTTCACTAAAGCAAGATGCATATGAGGTTTATTTTCCCCATTTTTATTTACTTGTAGTGTTTTAAAGACTTGTCCCAACTCGAGTTTACTTTGAGTGATTTATTTATTTTCCAATGACCTGATTCATTACATTTCAGAACTATGTTTTGGTACTAGAGACTTAGAAAGAATAAAACCTCAGAAGAATAACAATCTACCAATAAACCATGCAAATATATTTTAGTAAAAGTTGGAGCAACTGACAATAAAATTCTACAAATTCATAAACTTCTAGAATAAATCTGGAAGGTCTGTATTTAACTGCCATACAGAGAACAGGAAATTTGAACTTCCTGATCATTAATAGATTGTGTGTCCCAATTAAAAAATAGGAGATTGAACGGTTTACTTCTTCAATGAGTCTCTCACTAGGTTTCAGATGCAGTTAGCCTTTGGATTGATTTGCATAGCTATTCCTGTTGAGGATGTTATAAGTTTCTAACTTTTTAAATAAGGGAATGATGCCAACAATTAATCAGTATTTGCAAATTAATTATGACTAAACTTTCATAATGGGGATTATGGTTAATTGTTGATTCATCTCCCAGTCCTCCTGTTAATGACTGAGTCTCATATCAATTTGACCCGAGGTGGCAGATTTCAAAATTTCCAATTAGACAGCTTCTTTCACTATTACCTAAGAGCCATGAATTTGATTTAGAAATGTGGTTCTGTGTGTGTGTTTTTCTATCACATATTAAACCTACAATCTGTAAGGAGGATTCAGAAGGATGTTTGGAAAATGTTTGCTGTGATATTTATTTTTCTTCAGAAGCAATGCCAGTAATATTTCACTTATGGTTCTGATTTTTAATGTGCCAATTTCAGCACCCACTCATGCCATTGGGGCTTTCACTTAATATTTAGTTATGCTTCTGCTATTTGCCATCATTATAAAGACCTGACACCTTTCCTAGCTTCAATAGAACAATTTAACAAGCACTAATTATTAAATATATTCAGCAATTATACTTTTCATTAATGAGGCAAGATGTCTCATCTCAGTGGACTGCTAATGTAATAAGTCTTGGTACAAAAAAAAAGTCCATATAGTTAGCTGTTTGACTGTAAAAAAAATACCAACAAAAATGGAATATTTTTGTCCTATCCTGTACACTTATTTTCAGGTTTAGAATATTTATATTTGGAATATGAATACATACTATAAGTAATTAAAAAGCATAGGCTTTATGTTCTTGCTTGAAAGTCAGAGTACATAAATAAAATTAATATATAATAAAAATAGTCACAATCCTGAAAATGGCAAATTTAATGAATATTTAACTTAAAACATTTAAAGATGGTTTTACTGTGTGATCATACTCCTATTGCACTGGGGAATTAGTTTTACGTGATTTTTATTGTTATATTAAATTTTTCTTTACTAAGTGCAATTTGTCTCTAAGACTCAGAACAGTGTACATTTTAAATAGATGTATAATTTATTATGTGTATATAGATAATAATGATTTGATTATTAATTGCTAAATTCATTGGTAACCCTATGAGTAAAAGATTTGCATTAAATATGTTTCCCCTAATTCATGGCATATTTTTAAAAATGAGAACAATATATTTTTCATATTTTCATTATAGTCTGTATTTTTCATAAACTAAAAGAGATATATTTTAAAGAATTTTCCTTCCTTTCACATTATGATTTTTTAAAATGATTGATGGTTTTTAAAATCCCTTATGAAATAATGGTATATTATAGTAAATATTAATTGTGGATTACTATTAGAAAAATAATAAATTAGAACACCTATATCAATTTTGCAAATCTCTTGTACATGTTTTTAAATTTTTTTTCTTCTTTTCTGAAAGTTAAGGATGTAGGAATCCCTGCTCTGGAGTTTTGTTATTCCTATTTCAGGAATGACATACAAAATTTCAGTGCTTTGTCCGTGGTCAGTTAAGCACTAAATGGCAGGGCCAGGAGAAGTATCTAGTTCCTCTTATATCAGCTCTTCACATTCCAAATCATACGTGCTTTTATCACCATTATTATTAAAATATATGGCAGGGATTACTACATTATACTGTAGGCAAAATGAAAGTAATGGTTGTTCCACATAGTGATGTGATTTATTCATTAATTGGGGGAATTCCTTCAATTTTTAAAAAGATTACATTCTCACCTCAAAAGTTATTCATAGGCCATTCATTCGAAATGTCTTTCCAAAGACTTAGTTTTATGAAAATTCTCAAGAGTTTTCACACCATGCACCGAAGAGAACCAGGGAGGCTCACCTCCACTTTGTTCACAATTCTATTGGCAATTGACTGACTTCCAAGGGAGATGTTTAAAATTTAAGTACCTTTACAGCAGCCCTAGGAGTAAGATATAGAAACATCAACCACCTTCATTTCTGCCATCCTCACCTATGCATGAGTAGAGCCTGTTTAGGGGAGGAGAAAAAAAAACAAAAACAAAAAACAACAACAAAAAAAACAGAGCTTGGGTTACTTGGAAAATGAAAAACAAAAGATTTCAGACAAGAATCAATGACTGGTAAGCAAAGTGTAGCAAGGATTTAGGCCATCCAGAAGAGGAGAATGGAGGAGAAGGGTTTGTGGCAGGACCATCCCCTCTAGGAGTGGTGATTTCTCCCTTTCTATCTCTCTATCTCTCTGTCTCTCTGCTAAGTATACATACCCTATACCAAAAATCTCTAAAATAATAAAATTTAAAGAAAAAGGACTGTGGGAGTGGTAGTGATTGTCCCTGCCTCCCATTGTCTATCTCCAATCTCACTTTGAATGCTCAAATTAGGTCCTGTTCTCAGACTTAGTCAAGGTGAGGGAAGATTCATGTTTTGTCGAAAGGATGGAGTTTTCTGTGTCATCCTCTCCACACCTGTTGCTTTTCAAACTCCTCCACTGGAGTTGGTAATTGCGAAGACAGGCAAAAGGTGAATGGGAGGTTTAGGGGATGTTTCAGTAGTGGTAGAAATTTGGCAAGTTAAAAATTGGCTACAAAAAAAATCACATAGGAAGAATTTGACAGCATTTTTTATTAAAACCAGACACATTGAATTGCCCCAGTCTTTGCTATAATGAATGTGTCGGAGGGTTCATCTTCAAGTGCCTTTCAACCACAATTCAGGATTTTATGTTTCTGTTAACAAAGCTGATGGCATTCCAGAGCTGCCGCAAACAGTAGGGATTTTGCTTTCTTATAAATGATTGGCACATCAATTAGATTTCAGTATTATTTCTTCACACTTAATTTCTATAGTTATCTTTAAATTTGCCCATTTTAGTTGATGTTCAGAATGCTGAGCAGCTTCTCAAATAGCCTGAGCCTTTAACTATTTCCTGCTATTTTGTATACTACTATGAAAAGTTGTCATGGAACAAATTTTTTGAGACTGTGAATTGCTCTCGTTACATCGTACTGGAATGTTTGGTATCCACTTGATTGTTTTAATTTAGTTTTACATTTTTCTGTAAAGAAACAGCTATAAATATGACCTTTTCTCTTCTTTTTATATGCTACTGCTGACGCAATAGAGAGACACCCGATAACAAATGCTATTGATGGAAAGAACACTTGGTGGCAGAGTCCCAGCATTAAGAACGGAATCGAATACCATTATGTGACAATTACTTTGGATTTACAGCAGGTACAGTGCCTCTGTCTTATCATTTTCCACTTTTGAAATTGTACCTTATATTTGTTATTTGTTTAGTTGATGGTTCTGGGGTAAAAGGATGCCTTTTCTTATCTCCTTCCATTGGTTTTCTTGATACAGTGAACAAAGGGGCCTATTCATTTGGCATACTGTCATTTAAAAATATTTGGCATTTATTTCTGAAGCACCTACAATGTACTCTACGGATCTATGTGAATGGCAAACAACTCTACAGATCTTTGTGAAGGACTTAGAAATTAGGAACTGATTCTGTTTTGCCCAGTTGAAGCTAATGATAAAAATACGGATCAACAGAATTTTACATAAAGAAAATGTAATAGTGCCATTTTAACTTTCGAAATAATACAGTGTTCCCACATGGCTGATGGTGTGTGCATTTCAAGGTTCTTGAATAACAGACTCTTGAGGAAATTGCCCCTCATTACTGAGAGTTGAGCAAGCTGTGACAGTTGATTCTCAAATTAAACTCGGGCCACTAAAGGAGGTAACAAGCCTTGTAGTTATATAAAATTGATGTCAGAAGTTGTTACAGTTTGTGTTACATAGGCCTGGGTGCCTCCTATGCTTCATTTCTTCTTTCTGTTCACCATATTCAAATCAGATTGAAGTGATTTATCAAGAATGGTTATTACCTCAAATTCTAATTTTGCTGTTATTCTAAATACAAAGGCTGAAATTAATTGGCTGAAGGCTGAGACCACAGGCATTGAACTTAGATGACCTCTTTATTCAGCCTATTTCTCTTTGCTCACTGGAATCAGCATTGGGAAGACTCTTAACCATCCTCCCTGGACCAGTGTGGAGATGGAGTAGCAAGGAAGTTTGTGGCTAGTGCAGGGAAAAGGCCACAAAAGGTCGTGGTTTTCTTCAACTGCCATAGTGTGGGGAAGCACCAGTCAGTGGACTTGAACACACACTGCAGATAGCCAGGTAAGGAGCAAGCAAGCTGGTGGGTCTTAAGCAGGCGCTCCTCCCATTCCTCCTGTCTGGGACTCCTCAGAACTCAAGCAACTGGTGGCAGCAGGGACTCAGGTCTGTAGCAAAATCCCAGCTGGCTTGGATTTATTTCTCCCTATGTTAGGATATAGCAGCTGAATGTCAGCCCTGGGTAAAGATATTTCCTAGGAATTCTCAGAACATCCTCAGGGAATTGCAAGAAAATTACCACACTGATCAGTCACACATTAGGTCCATCAGTTCTGCACATGAATTCTCTAGGGATTCCTAGCTTCAAAATGGACTTCATCCCTCTTCTGATAAAGACAACTTAGTTTTGTTATTGGTCACAGCAATTCCTCCCCTTCATGTGGTCACTGCCTTCCCAATCAAGAATGAGTCTGCTGTCCATTGATTCAAGTCAGCTCTTGGGATAGGATATCAATAAATACAGATAGCTTATTGTTATGTTTTACTTTCCACTTATTCTTTTAGAGAGCACTTGGTGCAGGAAAATCAATAATTCATATAATTTGCACAAATCATTTCCACTACTCTTTGAGGTCAACCACAATATTATTTACCTCTTAAACATAGCAGCATTTTCCCATTCTAATTTACCACTGGATAGTGCAATCACAACTGTTTACTAAATTGTTTCTATCCAATTTGCCTATCCTCATTAATTCAGCAAGTTATAGAGTTCACCTGAAAGCCCACTTTTCAAGAAAGCAATTTATATTTTCCTAAATTTGCTTTATATTTTCACCCATCCATTCCCACAAAGCACCTTTTTTTAAAGAATTATTTATGTATTTAATTCCTTTTATTGGTAGTGTTATTATTTTAATTTCACTAGAGAGAAAGAGAAAGGGATAGCAAGAAAGCTAGCTGCCAGGTCCAGGACTCAAAGCACACTCAGCCATGTGGGAGTACAATGCCTCAACCACCATGCCACCTGCCAGTCGCCACCCACCCCCCAGAGTATTCGAAAAATTCTATGGGTTTGGAGGCTAGATGGTGAAGAGTGGTAATGCAGCCCTCTTCAGGGCTGGATCCACATGAGAAGGTCCTAGGTACTCATCCCAGACCTCCCTGTGTACACTGGGGTACATGCATGCCTGTAATCAGGGCTAGCTGAGGCTAGGGGAAACTTGTGGCCTCAGGACCCTGATTAGTTTCTTTCATGAAAGAAATAAATGAATAAAATTTAAAAGAAAGAATTATACAGAGTTCTTTTCTCATTTTCTATTTTTCCATTTACTTGACTAACCTCAAGATGAGTGAATATTCCAGGTATCTTCTGTAATTCAGTTATCATAACAAGTGGCAGAATTCTGCTTATAACCTAGATCTACTTTACTCCAAAATTTAGCTTACCAAGTGAAATTGGTACGGAATATCTATACTCAAACGGGTCCCATCTCCCAGGATGGTACCCACTCAGCCTTATTTATTTCAGCGCTCTTGTACTTCCTACAAATCAACCTGCTGCATGGTTAAGAAAAAGTGGAACAAAAATAATCCATAAAATGAAATACATTCTCATTTCAACCTGACACACATTTGAAATTACTCAACGATTTAACAGAATAAAAGAGTAAGCAGGTTTTGCAACCCAGTTTTATGAAGGAGTTCTTCAGATAAGAAGCTTCCAACTTCTCATTTGGCCTCAGACTTTGAAAGAACAAACTATGGACCATGATCATAGTATTTGTTCAGCAAAGTTGAAGAAAGACTTATTTTAAAGCCCTGGTAACAGAGAAAATGAGAACAAGCTACATCACTTCTCACAATAATTCTGTAAGGTAACTAGTATTACTATTGCTATTTAATAGCTGAAGAACACAGACTAAGAAAAAGTAAGGCTTTATCTTCTTTGCAAAGGTTATTATGGGTAGAACTGGAACTTCAATGGGAAAAGTTTGAATCTATACCCAAAATTATGCTTATATTTCCTAAACAGGAATCTGAACACCTAAGCTTAGGGGCTCATGTGAATTTATATTATATGTATTCAAGGGGTTTGTACATAGTTCAGTAAATACCATGGTATGTTCTTCTGGAATCTAAGGGAGTCTGGAGTCAGTATCTGTTTTGCCATAAAATAGGCATCTAGCTCTCTCTAGTTTGCCTCTAAAATGGCATCACTTTTTTTATACCTTCAGTATGAAGGATTCATACTTGTTCACATAATATGAGCTGTTATTCAACTAGACATTAAGGGCGCTACTATTATAATGAATAAGTAAATAGCACTAAATTCTTGTTGATTGAACAAGAGGTTATTTGTTTTTCTTTCTTTCTTTTTTTGTTTTTAAGGTTTTTGCTATAGGGTGTGTGCACTCAACAGAAAGACAGAGAGAAATAGAGAGACAGAAAGTGAGAAGTCACCCCACAGGGGGATGGCCATGCCGCAATCCCTTCTCCTCCATTTTCCTCTTGGGATCTTTGGCACAATAGCACATATGCCTGGTGTGAGTTTAAGCCACCAGGTCTGGGACTTGAACCTCGGTCAGCTACATGGGAGTCCAGCAACATAGCCATTATGCCAACTGCTGGTCCCTGTTTATTTTTCTTAATACCAGAAGGCATGTATGTGCACCAGAGAGAGAGAGAGACAGAAATCACCAATGGAGCTTGGTCACGTTGCAGTCCTTTTTCCTCAATTTGTCCATCCCATGAGGATTTTGGGCTTGCATGCACATATGCCTGACGTGCTTCTTAATCCACTGGGGTTGAGATTCAAACCGTAATCAGTCATGCAGGATCTGGCTCTCTTTGGAAAGCTTATAATCAATGCATTGCAGAGCCAGACTTATTGAGCAAGAGGTTTGTCCATTTTTAGTTTTCCTTTTTATTTTAAGACGTAAAAATTTCAACAAGTGCCAGTATTTTTGTTGATATATAATTGACTCCTCTGTGAAACACTTTTAATAAATGACTCTTTTTACATACAAAAAGCAACCATTAAATTTTTGATGAAATCGTTACCGATTACACTAGGATATTTCTTTTGCATTTTAAAATTTGAGATACCACTAGAACAACACAATAATTTATTTAGAATAAAATAGCTACTTATTTTATATGTAGATTGCATTTTGGATTTTATTACTAAGGGATTATTAGCTTCCCCCAGTTCTATTTACTCACAGCATATCATGAACAAATGATTTGATCATGCTGTGCCCAACTTCTAGATTAGCAGAATAAATATTATAATATCATGGAAATAAATTTGAAATGATCATAATAGCAGTACAACAACTAAATTCCATCCAGCAATTATAACTATTATGAGGACCTAGATGAACACAAATAGGAAGAGAAGCACTGTTTCAGTGATGTGTATGCAAAAACCAAAACCAAAAGCATACCAAATCAAATAAACAAAAAAAAAAACAATTAAAAAATGTACAGTGATTTAAAATACACTAATAGGAACTCAAAGGTTAATAGGATGTCCAAAATATTCTGTTTTAGTCCCTGTCCAATCATATGTCACTAGAATATGTTGAGATGAAGGATTTCATTTTAGGATTTTTAAAAATCTAGCTATTTTTTCAGGTTTGCAATTTAATTTGTTTAGGGGGAAAACTGACTGGCAGGTGAATAAAATACAGAATGACAGCATTTTAGTAGGCCCTGTTAATATTTATTGAGGTTTTATTCATTCCAGAATAATCCAGGATGTCATGGAATTAGTTATGCATAAGTTTAGGCATCTTCTCAGTAAGCAATTCATTTCCTTTCCTGGTATCCCTTAAAACTAAAAATGAATGTATCAAAAAGCCCTGCATTACAACTCCAGAGACCATACTTCACATGTTCTTGACCTAGATATTTTATTCATTGACCTCATAGACACAAATTAGTAGAACAGGTTAAATGGGAACTATGTTTTAGAAAGAAGTTAAATTAGCATTTCTATGAAAATAATACTGTAATTTTTAGATCTATGAATAGGATAGAATGATTTTTTTTTAACCTAAAGCCTGGAACAATTAATATAATGGTTGAACACTTAAAAT